ATATATATATATATATATATATATATGTATATATATATATATATATACATATATTGGTAATAAACATATTTGCTGCGAGTAAACCATAAACAACTGTGATTCAGCCAGGCTTTCAATTATCAGTTGAAGAAGTTTGTTCAAGGCAAATGGAATATTTAAAGAACAAATACATTATAGTTCAATTTTCAATAATTGTTTCTAACGAAAACCTCTAATTGTTAAAAAACTTATTTGCTGTGGGAGCTTGGGAGTGTGACCTCAACAGATTTACAGCTAGTACTCAGTGGCCTCAAGGACCTCAAACTTTGTAGCTTATCCAATATATTCTCATTAAATAGTCTACTCTCCATATCAAGACTCACCTGTTCGACCTTCTTGTGTATCATGGTGGGGAACAGTGACCAGCCGCAGTAGGCGCACAGCACAGCGACAATGGCGCCCAGGGCGCTGACAATCAATGACCAGTGTAGCATTTTGTGCACTTTCAACAATCGACGGAGCTGCTATGGAACACCGCGTAGGGCAGCCGGCACAGCATGGGCTGATTTAGGGGAGTCGAGGTGGACTGACTGAGAGACGGACAGCTGTTCGTTACGACTTTGTGCCGGCAGCTCAATCAGCGCATAGTTTGAGATTTATTTATTGATGTTGGCTCTCGCAGTTGCCTGACCTACGTCAAGACGGCTGCCACTTGTTGTTGTTGTTGTTATTGCTGGGTGTTGTTGCTGTTGCTGGTGTTGGTGTGGTTGCCGATGGTCGCCAGCGTCTGGTGCCGAAACAAAGCGCACTATTTATAAGATATACGCGCTTTCAGGTTTTCGCCTTTTGTTATATATACACTTATATTTTGAAATAAACAAGTTGTTGAATGCTCTACGATGCGTTCGTTGGGTTAGTTTTTTCTTCTTTTTTTTGTTTTTTCTTCAATTTGGTTTAGTTTTTTCTTTTTCTTTACTCTTTGCTTTGCTTTCTGCGCTATATGTATGTAGCCATACACATATAAGAAATATTGTAATTTATAATGTCTTTTATTTTTTGCTGCCTTTTATTGTTATTTATTTGTTGTTGTAGTAGAAGCGCTAAAGGGAAAAAACTAGTTTTAGCGCCTCGCGTCGCTTGAATTTTTGCTCGGAATTTTGAATAATTTTGGAATAATTTTATTCAACTAATTAATATGGGTCAACATCTGAATGCGCTGAAGCTCATCCGTGAACTGACAGCTCAGGATAACAGCGACACATATTTATGCACTCTCTGTAAACACACACACACTAACTCACACACTCACTCGCTCACACTCGCACTTACACTCACGCGATAGGTAATGTGTGTGTGCGTGTGTGTGTGAAGTTCAGATGGTATCGGATGGCAGCAGGATAGTTATATGGCTCTTTGCCGTGCCACACACAGGCAACGGTGATAAAAATCAGCGCGCGTTTATTTAACGGGCGCACGCGAACGGATTGAATGGACTCGCAGTGGCTGGCAAATACAAATTTTCGCTTAGCAAGTAATTGAATTGTTTTGCCTTAATGACCGGGAAACTTCGGAAATTCGGTATACTCGTAGATCGTAGCGCGCTGCCAACGCGCCGCATGAAACAACCGTAAACGACTGCCAAAGTTCAAGACAAGCTCGGAGCGAACCGCCGCTGAGCTTATGAGCCGCGAGCACTTTAAGCCACATACACACATGAAGAGCTCTGCACTCCACACTCCTCTGACCTGAGCCAGCGATCGGTCTGCATAGGTAGTCGCCCTATACCTTCACAGAAAGTGAGAGAGAGGCAGAGAGAGGGAGAGCGAGAGAGTGGGCTAGCGAGCGAGCGAGCGAGTGGCGAACATTGACAGCTCGCAGAGCTTGTCGCATCCCGGGTCTATAATGATGCTGCAAGTTTTGTTGCCGCTGCCGCTGCTGCTTCTGCTGCTGCTGCTGATGAGTAAGACGTTGTTTTTGTGTAATTTGGATATAAACATTATGTACAACCCATTAGCAAATTAGTGCAACTATTTTCTTCTTTTTGTCTATTCATTTTTTTTTATGCATATTTAAACTTTAAAGTTTACTTTATAATTGCGTTCATTAGCATAGCATTAGGCAAGCTCTGAAGCTCTGCTGAGCAGGGGAGCGCGTGTGCTTATCAAATATGCATGAATTAGATTATCTTTTATCCTTCTCTAGCGCCCTATTTCTAAGGTCAACTCAGCAGCGCGCTCCCTCTTCAGGCCTGGCTAAGAGATAACTTCACTTGAAGTCGGCCAACTTAAATATTTTGTCTTCAGTTCGCTCTGGCAGCGCGTCGCCTCTCTCACTCAACATCTATATCTCTCTCCCTCTATCTCTCTCTCTCTCTCTCTCTCTCTCTTTCTCTCTCTGTTTCTTTGGGCGCCGCGTGGGTGCACTTGACAAGAGGCAAACGCATTAACAGGTTTTTTCATTTTTTTTCTGCTTTTTTTTGGGCTCTGTGCGTGCCACGAATTTTATATATGAGATTTACAACAACAACAATGGGCGAAGCTTTTGTTGAACTTGACACGATTGTTGTTGTAAATTTACAGTTGTTGTTGTACATACAAATCGCTGTTGGCTTCATGTTGTTGTTGCCGTCTTAGATATTGTGCAAAATTGTTGAGCTTTAAATATTAAACAAATGCAAAACGCGGCGCCAATTAAAGCCAAGCCAACGGGAGCTGCAAAATAAATGAAATGAATGATTTGAATTACATTTGTCTGAACTGTTTGCTATTGAGTGTTTGTTTGCCCTCTGTCGAGCAGCAAAACGAGTATATTGGCTGATGACATTGAACTGGATGCTGTTTTCGTGTCTGCCACAATGTATGTATGTTTATCCAACTAAAGACCTCTTAATTTGGCCTGGCAAATCACAATTCTCCTTGAGTTTTATGGCATAAATCTCCATATCATCAGATGCAGCATTTTCTGGAGACTTCCACAGTCAAAGCTTTAGCTTATAAATTATTAACACTTTTACACTGTGAGCAAGTATTAGACAGTCGGCTACAAAATTGTGACTACTCTATCATTGGGCGTAGACAATGGAAAGCGCTGGGGTTCAATAACAACAACTGTTATTCGTGCAAATCATAAAACTGTCATTAATTTTTCATTTCCACGCGGCTCATTTAAATTTCTATCAAATAGGGAAACCGGTTTACGTAGATATAAAATTTGCATGCAATCTTTAAATGAATTCACTCCTTAAATTTGCTGTCACCTCTCATTTGGCTGCTCCACATCCTCACGCTCATTATAAATATCAGCAGCCCCATTGGGGAGCCGGCTGTAGCGGCAGCTCGTCTTGGGAGTGTTTTGTTTTTAATTATTTTGTAGCATTATCCACAGTTAGCCTAGTTTTTGAGGGGCCCTGAACCCAGTTTCTTATTTGCGTGCAGCGCGCTGATATCGTAATTTAAATATTTATTGCATTTTTTATGCCTCGCTTGCCACTTGACTACCAAGCAAGCACATCCTCGCTGCACACACACAAACACATGCACACACACACACACACACACGTACAGTGTGTCCCCCTTTTGTGTGACCTGAAAATTAAATTCAAATCTCGTGTAAATACCGAAGGCAAAGAAACAGTTTGTGTTCTACAAATTGATTGCATGTGTCCTGCTCGACTTGCAAAAAAGAGAACAAAGCAACAACAACAAAACAAAACAAAAAAAGAACGACTAAAAGATACCCAATAAAATGGAAAGCATCACAACTGCAACTTTCTTCAATGCTTTTCCTCAAATCTGCATGCAAAGTCTTTAGGTTTATATCTGATTCTTCTTTCTAATCTCTTCTCTCTGTTACATATCTATGCTCAACGTTAATATACCCCTTTCATGCACTCCCACAGGTATCAGATTAAAAAGCAAGCATCTGCGGCATTTGATAAAATGAAGTATGAAATTTCACACGGCAGGAGACTGCCTCCTGCCTGACCTCCTGCCCTCCTGCCTGCCAGCCTGCCAATAAAAAACAATCAAATGTTACTCGGCAACACGCTATGCAAATATAAGTATATACATGTATCTGTATCCATGTATGTATGTATGTGTATATCCTCATCGATGGCGTGCTATGGCAATTCCAATTTATAGATAATTTGATACGAACTGTCAGTCATTCAGTCCGTCCATCGGCCGCTGAGTCAAAGACCGTGCTGCCAGCTGGCAATTGGCAAATGGCAACTGGCGAGTGGGAATTGGCACAAGGACATGCGAGGCGTAGCTTTGCTTATGCGCGTACGTCGGAATGCATTTCTAATTTGTATTATGCTTGCCGCTTGCACTTTGCTTGGCTATTGCCATAAATATTTCAAGTCATGAGCCCCGGTGGGTGTTGAGTGCGTGCCTCCCCTGCCCGAAATAGAATGTGCTAAGTATTAAATGCAATTAAATGAATTAAACGACTTGTGAATGAGGCCAACGTGTCGTATAAGTAATGCGAGCCACTGGCGCTGTTGTCGCTGCTGTTTGCGTGTGTGGCACTCCACAGAACAATGACAGCAACAACAGCAACAGCAGCAGTAACAACAACGTCAACAGCAGCAGCAGCAGCCTGTGGCAGTCACAACATGTTCAAGTGACACGCCTCCTCCGCCTGTGTCCTCTGCTTTGCTGCTCGCTTATCACCAGCCCGTCATCGTCTAGAGGTGCACGGACAGCTGTCGAGGGGTCAAAGCGACGGAGCGAGCGAACGAGCGAACGTCCGATTGATGAGCAGCCAGTCTCTGGTCTCTGGACTGGCCCCCCGGCATGTTGGCCCAAAACTGTGTCATATAGAGTGCTAAAAGATTTATGTGCTGCACCTCGACTCACTCCTGCTCTCTTTGCCTCTAATCCTGTCTGCCCCGCCCCCTCCTGCTGCCCACTGCGCTCGATACGTGGCACAAACGACAACCGCTCACCGCAGGCTTAAGTGTCTCTAACTGCCAGACAGCTCAGTCACATATGACTCTCTGCCTCTCTATCTCTCTCCCTCTCTCTCTCACTGCCTTTCTATAAGTGTTTGTGTTTGTGTGCTGTAGTTTTTCATTTCGCATTGCCTGCTGCCTGTTGTTGCTGTTGTGGCTGATGTGTGCCCTGCAGCAAGGCAATTCTGCATAATTGCCAGGCCCGTTTCGTTGACTGTTCCGTTGTTTGACCCCATAAGAGCGGCTCTCATAGAGCACAGCTCCTGAACTGGAGCCAATTGGTTGGGATTTTCGGATTTGTGCAGTTCATGTTGGCCATGAATAATGTAGGCAATTTGTGCAACTCGGAAAAAAAGCAAACAAACATAATTGGTAGAAACTATGTGATAAGAGTAGCAAAAATTTGTATAGCAATTGCTTTATCAAATATAAATTTAGAGTTATATGCGAATACATATAGTTATTGATATTTATATATATTCTTTTATAGGAAGAGAGATAAATATATAGCCAAAGATTTCTTCCCCCAGTTGAACTAAATGTCGGCAACTTTTAAGTTTATCCTTTGCCAAGGCAACTCAAATCGAACATCAAAGCCATCTTCAGCAATATTCATCCAGTTCAATAGGTTTTCTAGTTAACAGTCAGGGTCTTAGGCACAAATCCTGCTGTTTGTCTAGCTCAATTGACTGCACAAATCTTCATTTTGGCTCGGTCACAAAATTCAATTGCATTTGCCAACGAAATTCCACTTAATGTCAGCGTTCGCCACCTGCACAATAATTTCCCGAAATGAATTATTGCGCATTAAGCTAACAAGGCACATACATACAATCTCCCACACCCACCCATTCACACACACACACATTATACGATGCTGCATACAAACGCAGCGGCAGTCGTCGTCCTTCGCAGCAGACAAGCCAGGGACGCGATGCAGCCTGCAATGCTGGAGGCCAAATGGCTAAAAGAAGCAAAACAAAAACAAGCAAACGAAAACAAAAACGAACAAAAAAAACGTGTATAAAGTAATGACAATAAGGCGCGAAAGCGCGCTCGGAAAATTCCAGCAGCGAGAGCCCCTGAACCGCGCTCCGTGTGGGCGTACCATAATAACACGCATACGCCGCGTCGTACGTGCAAAATCAAAACATAAACCAAGCGTAGCCTCAAATCTAGTAGCTGCACTGGCTAGTGAAATATTCCGGGTGTGTGTGAGTGTATGTGTGTGCATGTATAGGTGCATGTATGTGTGTGGGGTAGCTTTGGGTTGGGGTTGTTTTTATTTGGGTTTTTCGCTGCACTTCGTGCCAACATCGTATTCAAGTCGTGAGCGCGTGACCAGTAGCCGACTGAGTGAGTGAGTGAGAGAGAGAGAGAGTCAGAGAGGGAGAGCGAGAGCGAGAGAGAGCCGAAGGAGTTTCCGTGCATGCATGATGATGATGATGATGATGTTGTAGCAGCATAATCGCGCTTCGTGCAGCGCTGGTAAATTGCATTTCGTTTCGTGAATTCTGCTTTCAGTTCTGTTTCAGTTTCGAGTCCGTGCAGCTGCCTGCGAGCGGAGCCAGCCAGCCAGCCAGAGCTAGAGCCAGAGCCAGCTAGAGCCAGTGACTCGGCCGAGTGCAGAAGTTTAGCAAAGCAAAGTAAAAGCAAACAAGTGCAGTTTGTGTTGTGTTACTACTGTGCGAGCGCGTGTGTATTTGTATTTGTGCTTGTGTTTGTATGTGCATGTGCATGTGTGTGTATGCCCCCGCCGTAGCATAGATACAGAGATACCTACACATTTTCAGCGCCAGCCGCCTGAAAAGTGAAAACAAACCAGGCCAGCGCAAATTGAAAGTTCTTCAATTTGAACTCGACTAAGAAAGGAAATCGAATTGCTTGACTCTCTGCAGAGATTTCTTGGCATATTTGTTGTGAAAAAAACGACGCACAATCTACAAGGAGACCATGTCGACGCTGCCATTCCTGCTGAGCGTGGCCGACGAGCTGGACAACATCCACACACAATCCTATCTGGACGACTTCGGTCTGGGCTTCCATCCGCACCGTCAGTACTATCGCACGCCCACCATTCAGCTGTCGCTGCCAGCGAGCACAGACTGGACTGGACGCGCCGACTGGCAGGGACGACATGCGCGCTATCGCAGCTACAAGTTCTACGATGACTCGGAGAACAATCTGGAGGAGGAGCAGGAGGCGGAGGCGGAGCAGCAGCAGCAGAAGCTGCAGCAGGAGCAGCACAGCCTGCAGCTGGAGCAGCAGGAGATCAGCCAGGAGCAGGTGCAGCAGCAAAAGCAACAACTCCAAGCCCACACTGCCAGCATGGTCAAGTCGAACTCACATGACGTGGGCGTGGGTGGATTGGGTCTGAATCTGAGGGCCGGCGAGGAGGAGGATGACGAGAACATCGATCGCACCGTGCGCATGTACAATCTGTCCAAGAAGTGCTGCAAGAACTACTATCGGCATGCCTTGGAGATGGACGGACCCGGCGCCAGTGGCCGAAGCAAGTGCAGCAATGCGCGCACCGAATGCCATCAGTCGTTCTCCAGCTCCGAGGAGAGCCTGCAGAAGGTGCCCTCGCCCATTGAGTTTCTCACCTGCTTCCTGGTGAAGAAGACGCGTACGCCCAAATGCTCCAGCCATGCCCCAGCTGCCGGCCGTGCGGCCGTCGGGCAGCTTAAGAAAACATAGAACGCGGCCGCGTTGCTGCCAGCAGCAACGAGAGTGACAGCAACGGCAACTGCAACTGCAACGGCAACTGCGACAACAACAACCGCTTCGGTCTCAATGACATCGACGTCGGCGTCGAAGCGTCGCAGCAACTGTTTCTGAATGTTGGCCAGAGTCGGTGTGCTCTGCGGCCAGGCCTGGAGCTGGCTGCAGCGTTGCGGCGAGCTGCCCAGCTCGGAGCCAACGACGTTGCCTGCAACGCGCCTGGGACGCATTACCTACTAGGCGCATATTCCATATTGGACAGCAGGAGGCGTGGCACACGCGACTAACACACACGCACACACACACACACACACACACACCCACACGCACAAATACATGGCAAATTGGTTTTAACTATGGCAAAAGGCTGGCAACAGGAATTTGCATAGAGATTCGTGCGGCGGGCTTAATTTGCAGCAAACTACACACACACACACACACACACACGCACACCGAAATTGTTTTTTGGATTCCTTAATAATCGTAAAGCAACTCAAATACAATACACAATTTTTAAGCCAGAGATTTTTTAACGAAAATAATGCGAATTTGTTAAGCAAACGTTTTTTATATGAATTTTTTGATACCTAACAAGCAAAACAAACAGATTACTATTTATATATACCTTATATACATTATATATACTATATTATACATACTTGTACTTGAAAATATGGGCAAATTTAAGGCACAGCCAAACAACAACACCAGCTCACACACCCACACACACACGCACAGGAAAAGTTTCGTTTTTCGGATAACAAACAAAAAAAAATAAAAAGGGAAAAGTTTTTTATAGCACAGCAAATGAAGAACTAACAAAAATTGCAGAAACTTTTCGACAATGTCGGCAAGTGTTGGAGTGGGCTCTGCTGCAGTTCGCAGAGGTTATGAAAAGTGAAACATGTAACAACAAAAAGCTGTGGAAGAAGAACAAGAGGAAGAAGGACACTTATGGTCCTTGTGCCATATGAAATGGAAATTTTGTTAAACACTGAAACTGGAAAACGAGATGAAACTTATTGGTTTACGATTTGATGATGCCCCACGTAATATTTCCGTGTTCTTAACGTATTCTAAATGTTGACAAAAAACAAAACCAAAGAGATACAATTTAGAAATATTGACAATTTTATACATAAACGATGAGAAAACCCTCAGAAAAAAAAGCAAAAAGAAAATTAAATGAAAATCGTAGCTGTTTGCACTTTCAGAGTTTAGTATGAATTAGAACTACAAATACATGATATATCATACTCGTATTATATATGCTCGTTCTTTTAGTACCATGAATACTATATACAACTATATATATATATATATATTTTTAAGCACACATAGCTTTACAACAACTGAATTATAATTGCATATTTCAACATATTTGGCGTGATCAGGTGTGAATGGATTTCTCCCTGGTCCGGCGCCTCTTAACAGTTAGTTGTTACTTGATGTCAATCATAATCGATATAGTTAACTTAAGAGCTCTACCCCCTCTCTCTCCCAATAACATGGCAAATGTAGCAAACCGAAAAACGTTCAACTCCACGCACATAAATCATATCTTATATAACATATACTTATATACATGTATATGTACATGAGCTTGCAGGCTCTAGTTATTATCGCATAGATTAGACTTATTTTCGATATCATCTTCTTCTTAAGCACACTACAAATTCGTAACTGCATACTTTAGCAACGCCAGGCATATCATAACGACAAACTTCAGCTAGAAATCGTAAACATAATTCAATTTGAGAATTCAATAAATGAATGTGTAACACAAACAACTTCAGCTTTTACTACTGTATTACGTATTGAATCCTTACAGATTGCGCACAGCTGGCCTTGGACGGAGACAAGGACATGTACTGTGGCATATGTCCTTCATGGTATGACATTCGCATTAATTTTCCACGCGGACACTCGGAACAAATTTCCAACGTCAAACTCAAAAATTTCAAGTGCAAAGTGAGGGAAGACACAATTTGTGACCTTTAAGCAAAAAAAGGACGACAACCAAACGGCATGTCCTTTTACATGCATATGAGCTCCAAGCTGATGGCTGCTGCTGCTGCTTCTGCTGCTGCTACTCCTGCTACTGCTGCTGGCTGCGGCTATCCTGGCCCTGGACATACCAAGGATACGTAGCGACGTCACCTTTTCCTTTTTGGAATTTCAAATGAGTTGCAGTGACACTGGCCACACTGCGGCACAACCTTTAACTCCCTCCCTCCCCCATTCCCATTCTCCGACACGCCGTGACAGGCGCTGCAGACAGCGCGCATCAAAGACCGCATCGCACATGGCATTTGTGCCACCTGCGCCGCATTCACTTTCCATTTCAGCGGCATTCTCAAACTCTCCCGCTCTCTCTCACTCTCTCCTCCTCCTTTTGTATTGGGTTCAATAGCACAACACAAAAATAGACTAATGGAGCGTCAAAATGTTGCACGTAGCACAGCTGTGCTGCAGCTCCCCCCGCTCACTCGCCCACTCGGCCACTCGCTGGCTGGCGGGTCTTATAAATAAATCCTCGTTTCCTTACGTATGCAAACAAGTGCAAGACCATTGTGGGCGTGCCTCAGGCGCCGGAATGGACAAAAGGAAATGTGTTTCACTTCTGATGCTTGCATTAGACAAGGAGAAAATGGGTATACATACTAATGCTAATGATAGAGGTAGAGTTAGAGAATAATAGTGAATATATGGAAGAACTAGATACAGCTGTAACTGAATTTTTATACGACTCCATATCCATAACCATCTCTCTACGTTTAACTAGCATCACAAGGCATTTTATTTACATTCCCACTTGCATCTGATTGTTACAGGGTATCTACTAGTCAGTCACTCTCCTCATTTCAGAGCTGCACTGTTTTCGGTTCATTTTCTTGTCTGCTCCACACAGAAGTGAAACTTTTTACGTGCTGGCTTTATTCATGTCTCTAGTTACTTCGACATTCGAGCTGCGACTCGGGCTGCACTTCCTTGTGAATGGGCCGGCCGGCGCAGTGAGCGGGCGACGCAACACTGGTGCTCACTCGCACGGCCAATTACAGTTTAAGTTGCGCCCGAGCCTGGCCTGCTCCGTCTTCAACTTGGGCAATGGCACCGCATTGCAGTGGCTGTGGCAGCCTGTGACGCTTTGCTCCTGGGTTCGCCTGCACCACAAAACGTTTGCCCTTTTGTGGTCGAGTCTACCTTGGCGACTGTTTGGCCGCAATTTTGTTTTCTTTTTATATATTTTTTTGTGCACCCAATTTGCCAGCGACTGCATTTGTGGCAACACCAGAGCACGTCACTTGACTCTGGGCTGCTCATGAACTGTGCTCCCATGGCGGGCCCTGGTGTAATGTCGCACTGATTGATTTGCCACGCCCCATTCAAGTTTATATTTTGTTTAAATTGTTGTGTTTACGCCGCACGTTATTGATTTGCTGTAATTAGTTTGGCACAATTTCAGTCGAGCCATCGCATTAAATAGACGCGAAACGAGCGCGTAATTACGTATACGTAATTGCTGCGGTTTAGCACAATTTGTGTAGCATACTTTCGGGCAGCGGCATAAAATATTTATATTGAATGCATTCAGCTGCTGAATGGAATGGGAAATGCACTGGATTATGATGATATTTTCATTAAGCTTAATGTATATTAGTTTAGTCCGAGTATTTAGCCAACTCACATGCTTAAATTGATTTAGGAAATTGTGGTTCCATTGCAGAGGTGCTGTCACTGCACTAGACTAAATCTGCTGCAATTAGTTTTTCTGTTCTTTCTCTATTTTTGTAGCTGCTGCCTCTGGCAGCTTGCCCGCTGGCTGACAAATATGTGGCGAGCAAATGAGTGAACATTTATGGCCATAAACTGGCTGCCAGTGAGCGTATTGCACGCGCCGCACCGCCAATAGGCGAAGAGGTGCATCGAGCAAGACGCGCAACCCCACACCCACAGCCGCGAGAGCCCAGAGCCAAACAGAGACTGAGACCCACCCGCCTCGAGGCAGCTGCGCATCCACAGCTCACCTGTGGGTGGCCGCATGCCAAGCAATCGAGATCCACTTGGATTTGCTTTCTATATACATATCTAGCTAGATATAGCTCAGTTGATCTTGTGTAAGCGACTGGCAAAGAAAGTGCCTGAATGCGACCCACACCCTTTGGCATTGATCGTTGGGATCGTTTGCTTTGCATTTGATTTGATTTTGCCATAAACTCAAACAAATTAGTCGATTACATAGTTGTTTTTTTTTTTCTATATAGAATTGTTTACCGATAATTACAATGCATTATTGTCACTAGTTTTTATTGTCGTTGTTGTTGTTGTAGCTGCTGCGGCACTTCATTGATTTTCAAACGAGAACTTTGCGCGCGCATTTCACGGCTACACTAGACTACAACGCAAATGTTTAGCTGTAATGAATGGAAATCTCTGTAAGAGCTGTACATATAGTAAAAAAAAGTTACAATCTTTAAATATACATATTTCGCATCACATTCGCAACTTAATCATTATTGCATATAAAAAGATCATCAGCTTAAGCTTAAGTATAACTGCATGCTATTTAGTTATTAATTTATGTTTAACTACTACATTCATTGCTGTATTTCGCATCATCAACGACAACCCACTCGCTTTTTGCTACATTTATAATTAATTGCTGAATATCTGTTTCTATTGATGTGCACCGCGCTGTCAATTGCTGACTTAGTCACAAACTCATTGAACTCATTGGAAGATACATAATATACACAAGTATATATACTATATATGTACAAACACATATATATATGTATGTATATGTATATGCGTTGTAGGGCATGGCATGTAAATTGTCGCCGTTGTCTTTATAATTACTATCAAGCGCTGGCAAAATCTATCGCAAATACAACAACAACAACAACATCAGCAGAACAAGAACAACATCAAATACAATTATAAACGGGTGGGGTCACACACACATGAGACGGGGTCACGGGGTGTCGGCAGGTCAGGCCCATAAATGTTGCGATTCACGATGAGTTCATATAGCTTAGCTGTTGTTGTTGTTGTTACTGTTGTTGTCGCTAATCTTTGGTGCAAATCGATGGCAAAAGCCGAAAAGCCGTTTAGCAGACAACATCGCCATACAAATTGCCTTTTGTTATGACAGTCAGCTACAAATGTTTCAATCCAAGCGTCGAACATGCTACAGACACAATATTCCTCTCTCTATCCAGCCATATCTATATAAATATATCTCTATATCTGTCTCTGTCTCTGTATCTGCCATAGCCGTGGAGCTCTGCTAATTGAAAATGAAAATCCGCATAAAAAGTCAATGCCGTATTTGGTAAAAAAGTGAAAAGAATTATGCGACGTTTTCAAATCTTTGTTTTCGGATTTCCGCCAAAGAAATGTTGTTGTTTATTTATTTATTTCGTGTTTTAATTTAGCCCAGGCCAGCTTCAAATACATATGGACAGCGTCACATAACAGCGGAAATGCTGCGTAATTAAGTTGAACCCTGTACGCTTGGGCGTTATGGGAGACTAGGTTTTCAGATTGCCAAAAAGATGCTCTGGGCCACAGCTGATCAGGGTCAATCAAAACCTTAGTATCTCAGGTAAGTGCGGAAGTATCTCAGCTTCGGTCCATTGGCAGAGCAAGTACCCCCAAGGAAATGCTATTGAGCAGTCAAGTGGGCCGACTGCAGCAGCCCACCAGCCCAGCGCAGCCAACGGCAAGCAGCGGCCCCATCAAGATCGAGTCGCCAGCTGGAGCTGCTGCATACGTCACAGTTGTCATTGCTGCTAGCTGGCTTAGCCCACTGGAGGCGCAGCTCTATATAAGGCGGCGATGCTGTCAGTATCGAGCTTAATTGACTCTGCGCTAAAATCGCGTGCGGACGTTCAGAGAACGCGGCGAATCGTGAAACGTAAAACGGAAAAGTTTTCTATCTAACTCGCAACGCGCTGCTGCGTCCTGCCAAAAAGGAAGGCACCCAAAATCAAACTCTCACACACACACACATAGTCGAGATGGCTCTGGTTCCAGCATCGAACAACAGTACGGATTGGGATTATTGGGACTATCGCCGTCGCTTGTGGCGCGATTGGGATCTGGCCGCCGACTGGGACTTGCCCTACTGGAAGCGCTTGTCGCGCGTCGGCTCGGCGCCCGATCTGAGTCGCGTTGTCGTTGGCAAGGATGGATTCGAGGCCAATGTGGATGTGCATCAGTTCAAGCCATACGAGATATCGGTGAAGACGACCGGCGACACCGTCGTCGTGGAGGCCAAGCACGAGAAGCGCCGCGATGGCGACAGCTTTGTGGGCCGTCACATTGTCAAGAGATTCGTGCTGCCGCGCGGCTACTATCCCAACGATGTGCGCTCCGAGCTCTCCTCCGATGGCATACTCACCGTGCGCTGTCCGCCCTATCTGAGCAACGAGCGCAGCGTCTACGTGCGCCAAGTGGGGCCCTCGTACCTGAGCATTAAGAACTAACACACAGACACACTAACTCACACACACACACACGTACAGATAAAGACAGAGAGGATGTTGTTTTGTTGTTGTTTGTTTTCTGTTGGCGGCACTGCCTTGCGCAAAGCTATCCAAAAATGGCACACGAAACGAGAATTTGTTTACAAAATTCATTTAATTAATTTAAGATATATTTCGCACAAGCGCTTAACTGAATGGAAGACAAATCTGATTGGACTCTTTTTTTATTGTAATTAACCAAAACCAATTTTATAGTTCAATAAACCGAAAGTTTAATTTATTAAAAACGAAACGAAGAGATTTATTTAATAGAACTTGCAATTTCAGACTAAAAGGGAAATCCTGATAATAAAAAGAACATCGCGTGAGAGTCCAAAAAAAAACAAAAACAAATGCCTTTTAGAATGTCGACGTAAATTGGCCCAAACCAGACTCGGTCAGCGGCAAAGCACAGACAAACGAGTCTTTAGACAAACATACATATATAAATGTATATGTATATAAATATATTCTATCTAGAACGCCCTTGGGCAATTTCCGCAAATGCCAACTATGGTAAGGTTTAATTGTAAATAAAGCAATAAACAACAACAAAAGCAACAAGAAACCTGCCGGCCTGGAAGACTAGAGCAGCGGACACATAGACAAGCCCACATACACAGGCACATGTGTCCCAAGAAAGCCCCAATCGAAGTGTGTATATAAATAGTCTACAGATACATCTGACAGCTGACCATACTGGTCAATGAATTAACAAATAAATAGTGCAAAAAGAAAACAGCAACAAAAAGCATCAGCAAATAACAATATTTGTAAATAAAGTCGCAAGCCCACAATGCAAACGGCGTGGCGCGGCGCGGCGCGACTTGTGCGCTGTTTAAAACGCGCGCAATTTGCTGTGTGTGCCAAACGGCCAAACGAACGACTTTTATAGCAGCTGTCTGTCAATGGGTCAATCATTGACTGGGTTCATTCAATGTCTAACCCGAAACACTTTGTTGTAGTTTAGCCAATCAATTTGTCAATCACATGCTTATTGCTGCAAATGTCAGAGCCGGTCCAATTTGGAGTTCTTAATGCTCAGTAGATTCTGCTGTTTAGGCTGCCTTTGGCTTAATAGTATAAAGAATATAAATCCAATTGTTATATTTTGTAGAGCTTACAATTTAAATGCGAATCATTATTTATTTATATGTAGGTTTACTTAGCCTGAACAATTTAATTTTAATTCGATTTGCTTCTCAGCTATTTGCTGTCTCGCTTACTCTTCTCATTGAGTTGCCTTTGCTCGCGTTTTTATAAAAATAAACTCCCATAGAGGGCGCTGCATATCAACTGCAAATAAATGTAGCATACTCTCAGGCGGCAATTAAATTGAGCTGCTTCTTTAGCTGAACCCACAGTAATGCATGCACTCACTCACTGATCAAATAAATAGCCAGCCGTCAAACCACGCCGACTTGGCACTGCTTCTCAAAAAATATTCTTGAGCCATTCTGTTGCTTTTTGCGCGTTGACTTACGAGCGAGCTTTATTAACGATAACTACAACTAATTAAAACATGCAAAATGTATGTCTCTATATAACAATGACTGCCACATTTACGAGTGGTGCGAATGGTGTTGGTGCTGGTGTTGGTGTTGGTGAGTGCTGATGCTTGACTGGTTGGCTCTCTGTGCGGATGTGGAATTTCAATGCCAGCTTACTGCTCGTCCTTCTGTGCTGGTGGATGCGTGCGAATGTATTCGAGGGCGCGCAGCACATAGGCGGGAACGGGAGGTGGGGTGGGCAGATGATCGCCAACTGGATGATAGCCCTCCTCGTCGGCGGTGTAGCTCAATGAGATTTGCTCGCCTTCGGGCGAAACGTAGGCAACAGAGCCGCGTACGCCCGAGGGATTGCCCGCCTCCTGCACCTGAATGCCATTGCTGGTCTCGTAGGCAAACTGATAGTTGCCCTCGGCATCGGAGGCGTCATTCTGGAAGCTGCGAATCTGTGCGTCCTTGTTGATGTTATCGGCGCAGGCGCAACCGATGAGAGCGAGGCAGAGCACCTGTAATTAACTCTTGTGATTAGCGATGCGAAATCATCGGGGCACGGGGGAGCACACTTACGTATTTGAACATCTTGACTTGGAGTTTGTCTGAAGACTTGGGTTGGGTTTGAGTGTTGTGGGATGGATGCTTCAACTGCAACTGATTGCTCTTCTCAACAGCGTGCTGGCTTTTATATGGATATGGATCTTGTGGTTCAGTGTCGCAAACGGGTTTTAATCGGTTTTTTATGGCACCAGCAATGGCACACTGGCGAACTGGCGAACTGGGGAGCTCACAATTGGCAACTACACATGGGCGAAGAGGGCACCAATAATTGCCAAAAATCGTATCATCATAATCGAAACATTAACAACAACGACAACAACAACAACAACAGCAACAGCTATAACGCGGTTAGCTATAATCGAATAACCGAATGCCTTAAAATGCATGAGTCATTTGCCAGCAATTTATTTCCACGCTTTAATTTCGGTGTCAGTTTTGCATTTGCTCCATGCACCTTTATTTCTTTATTTCCCACCCAAAACCCTAAATTATTTGTGGCTTACACAAACAAAACACAAGCACGGAGGCAATCAAACAACATACCATACCAGAAAAGCAAAAAAAAAAAAAAAACAACAACAACAATAAGACAAATAGAGAGCAGCAAATATAAATACCTTACCAACTTTCAATGACCGTTTCCCCTTCGAGCCCTGCGGCGCCCGTGCTCCAAATAGTAGTTGAAGTTCGATTTGGCTGTCGATGTGGATGTGTGGATGCGGAGTTGGCAGGTGCGCGTGCCCGCTTGGAAGCTGGCGCGAATTGTCCGACTTGAAGAGCTGTTGAAATGTTTGGAAGCGCAAGGTCGTCACAAAAAGCATTTGGACGCACAGACGGCAGACGACAGACGGCAGTCGGCAGACCGCAGACGACCATACTCTGAAGATCATGTTTATCCATTATGAATTAGATTTTTGGACTATTAGAAATGCTTATTTTAATTGATGCAATCTCGTTTCTGGCTAGCCGAGAAAAATGTTGTAATGATATCTGTAAATAAAACTCAAATTATATGGAAAATAAATCATTTGCTTTGGCCTTTCCTTCATCTCTTGCATAAAATATAAATTATGCTTACTTTGGCTTCTGCCTCTTGGCTTTTTGTGCAAAAAACTTGTTTGGCTGCGCGAATATGATTGTCAATAGGGAAGTAATTAAAGAATAATTAGTATTATTAAATCTTAGTTATATGTTAAAATTCACAACTTATCTAGTCTCATCCAAGAAGCAAAGAGCTAGATTAGAGGAATTCTAAGAGGTAATAAAAATGTCTATGCAGAAGCAAATATTTAATGATATATAATTTGTATGTGTGCCCCAGATCGATGATAATTATATGTAGCGATATGATTGGACTAGATCATTCAATGTGTGTTAATGGAAAACTTAAACCACAATATTAAATATAATTAAAAATAATTATTTTAAATATTTATTTAAAATAAAACTAATGTTAATTAAAAGAAATAAAGGCTTTACATAATATTAGAAGTAACAGTTTTTTTTTTAAAGTATAAATGAGTTAAAAAAAAAAAGATTTGTAGCAATTATTTTGTGATTAGCATTTTCAGCTTTAAGTTTTGATAACTTCATTAATTTGTTGTTCTTTGTTTTTAGTTAATCATGGTAAACATGGTGTTTTTTCGCTTTTCTAACAGGTTCAGCATGTCGACAAAATTGAAAAATATTTAAAGCATGCGAGACAAGATTAGCCTAGCCAATTAGTATATTTATATCATCGATTCTTATATATATTTTTATTTTACTTTTATTTTAAGCATAAAAAAACTTGTTTTTATTTAAGTTTTATTTGATATATATTTGCATACACATTTTGCTTTACTTATTATGTGAACGTGTTATACATCCGACAGCTTCATAAATGGACTTTAGTAAAACAAACTACAAACAAAATTTAATTAATTAAGGGGCGTCGGTTTACATATTTATGGGCTTTGCCCATTATCATAGTAAATATATATGTCTCAGAGTAGGAAATATTATTCATAAATATTTATAACAAGCAATATATTATTTATTTCAGCTCTCAGCGACTGTCAAAAGATCTTGAACGGCCCACGCGATAACAAAAACAAATAAGAGTCAAATACGAGTAAAGAATGCATTATCCATCATCTAAATGCACACTCGAAACACACAAATTAGTTTGGCATTTTAGCAATTCAGATTCAAGCTTGAGTGTGCCGAATGCAAGATTTAGATCGCTGTTCAGCAAGTTTGTGTTCTAAGTCATCTCGGCGTGTACACGTGATTATGAGAATCCGCTCTAATGGGCTGGCAGGCGCCAACAGATGGGCATTTTATTGGCCATTATGTAAAGAGCAAGGCCCGCTCTCAGCTCTCTCAGCTCATGGCAACACTACTGGTACCATTGAAATAATATTAATACTCCGCTTGATCAGCTAATTTATTGTGCTGCCACAATATTTGTATGCTAATGCGAGCTTGTTCCAAATTTGACTGAAGAATTCTTCTTTTTGCCTAATTAAATAATTAAACTGGTTTGCCCCAATGCTGAATGGATAGCCAAATTGAAATTGAAAGTGATGATAAATAGGCTTTTAGTTTGCCATTTTCTATTTTTTGTTGTTTTTTAAGTTTACTTAATTTAAGCTAGTTTCGTGTGTTCAATGAAGTTGAATCGTAAAATATTGCGCAATCATACGGTCGCTTCATTAAAAAATAAATAACATTTTAAAAGATCACAACTAATGCGGTTATCTCGATGGATTCATCGACCGAAGCAAACCACTTTGAATTCGTTTAAAAAATTATCGATGTGCAGCCTATGCACGTAAAAACTAAATATATTTCAATGTATGTATATGTATATGTATGTATATGTTTCGCCCCGCATTTTATTTAACTTCATCACATTTCGCTATTTGCCTAAAATATGCACAACTTAAGCTTAACTGATATTTAGTACAACGCGTTGTCAGAGCAGCTCAACAGCAGATTAGAAACGACGACAACGACGACGACGACGAAGATGACGACGACGGCGGAGCAGCGCCTACATAGAGTCAACGTTTTTTTTTTTTGGATGGGTGCGAGTATAAAAACCAGAGATACGCAAAGACAAACAAACAGTGTGAATTAGACAAGTGAAACACAATGTTCAAGCTAGTGAGTAGCAGAGCAAAGCGCAAGCTGAGAATCATCAGGATATTCGATCAACGTTAACTAATTGAAATGAAATTCATTTTGCAGTCGATCTGCCTTATCGCCGCTCTGCTGGTCTGCGCCCAGGCTGACCATATCGACAAGGATGCCCAAGTGCTGAGCGAAAGGAATGATCCCGCCGATGCGGAGGGCAACTATGCATATGCTTTCCAAACCAGCAACGGCATCCAGACCCAGGAGGCTGGCAATAGTAATGGCGCCAGTGGATCTTACGGTTACACTTCCCCCGATGGCCAGATAATCTCATTGACCTATACCGCCGATGAGAACGGATTCCATCCCACTGGTGATCACTTGCCCACTCCTCCACCAATTCCCGATCATGTGGTGAGGCTGTTGGAATATATTGCATCACATCCCAGCCCGCAATAGAGCTCCTTTCAAAATCAGTTTAGTTACATCATAAAATAGCGTGCATTAAACCAAAACAAATATTTGAAATACAAAAGAAGAAAAAACCAAGTCATTTTAATGGGTAATATAAATATAATAAGAAAATATATATACTATATATATTTAACCCAAGCGAGGACGTTGCAAAGCATTTAAGCTTTAGTACATATTAAATATGTATATGGATCTCATACATATATAATAGACTTTGGTTGATACGCTTTGAGCCACATTTAATGGAGGATCATTAATCAAGAGGCAAAGCAGATGTTACCATAATGATCAGCCACAGGAATCAACCATACTAGTCGAGGTGAAGACTAAAGAGAGCCACATCCATATACATACATATAAGTTTTCAGATATACATAACTGACGGAAATTTATGCAGTCAAATGTGGAAGCTGCAGGGCCAACAAGTTCAACGTTTTGCACCTCTTTTTCTGCATGCTCTTTGCTCGAAACTGTATGTACATATATGTATGTATGTATATCGTATTTAATTTGTCATCTCAATGTAAATCCGACAGTTGACCCCCAAAAATAGGAAGAAGAAGAAAATAAAATAAAACCAGTGTATTTAAATACCAAGAAAGAGTCTAAAATGTGATGCAACCGATCCAATGTGCTGTGTGGCTCTGCCTTAAGCCAAACAAGTTTCTCGGTTAGTAACACTTTCGCCTGTGCCTGCGCCTGCGTATTCTACCAGCGACCAAATGTAGGTCAGCCGCGAACACGAACTCAGCAACACGCACGTAATACCCATCCGGCGAATTAACCCAACAACACTTAGTGCTGACATAAGAGATCTAGAGAACAAGCTAAGAATGTGTCTAAAATATGATTAAGATAATGTCTTAACTCACATTACATAATGTCATGCACATATACGTATATATTTCAGCGAATACGCAGAATCTGACCTTTAGCTAAAAAGTCGTAGCTTAAAGTCCCAAAAAACTGGATTGGAAGACCTTTAAGGGTTAACAACGTCAACGAAACTGTAACCAGTTCCTCGTTATCCTTCAACAGACAAAACGCAATGAACAGACTTTTGGCATATATGTATGTAGTTACATGTAGCATGTGTATATATACTTTGTGCATTTACAGCAGCGGCATAGCCAGACATTAACAGTATAAGCAACAGTTAAGTAAATAAAATTAAGTGATGTGACATCGATACACAGAATCATTTAAGCAACAATAAATAAGCCCAATCGAACTTTTGTCTTGTTGTTGTTGTGTGTGTTGAGGTTTAGAGTTTGCTCTCGGCAGCTTCCTTAGCCTTTTTTCGTGCCGCTGCAACTGCAGCGGGGCCAAAGCGATGTATAAACTTGTTCACCGGATCAATAATAGCTTCTGGGTTATTCAAATGCAGATGATGCGAGCCACTTGCCTCCACATACTCAAAGTTTGGCTTCTTTAGCAACACCTCAAGCACTTCGTCGTAGTACTTTTTGTCCTCAAAATATGACGAATTGGTTGCCTTGATGAATAAATAGGGACACGTGATGCGCTGGGCCATTTCGACGCACAGTTCCTGGGAGCCAATCGCATAGTTGTAGAACTTTAGGCGGCGATCACGACAGAAGAAGAATTTGTCCGGATATTTTCCCGACTTCTGGATATTGCGCGCAAGAATATGCTTGCATAGCTCCTTGTTGACAGAGTGAAAGGAACCAAGATAGACACGCTCGATCAGCTCATCGTATGTATAACTTGGTGGCTCTGTTTTGCTGCGATTGCGTTCATCTTCCCGCAGAAATTCATCGAGACGCGTCTCCATAGTGCGTATAACCGCAGGGTAAGGTCGCTGGTGGGGCTTCAAGGCGTCAATGCCAATTACCATATCTACCTTATCGGGAAAGACAGCTGCAAACACAAAAGCAATTATGGAAGACATCGAATGGCCAATCAGTGATACCTTCTCCCACTTATATTGCTTCATGATAAGCCTTATCACATATAGATTATCAACCGAATTGTAATAACAGCCATCGGGCAAACGTGAAGACAATCCATGACCAGGCAAATCTATGGAAAGGAATGCCACGTCTGGCGACAGCAAAGGCACTAACAAATCGTATGTCCCTGCATTATCCTGCCAGCCATGCAGGCCCAATATGGGCTGCACAGTCTGGGGTCCATACCATTTACCAGCAATGTGGCCCCAGGGTACTTTAATGCTGATTTCAGAGAACTGAAAATAAAGTGCAATCAGCATTTAACTGTGATTTCCATTCCAAAGATCAAAGTGCGCACTTACAGCTCGCGTTGGAGGCTCGCCCGTAAGGTCGCCTGCATGTCGGAAACGCAGATTGAGATCTACAGGAGATCCGTCCGTGCCATCACTTGAGTTTTCCTTAAATTCGAACTCCATGATCCTCACTGCAGCAGAAGACAAACACGAATATGCTTAAATTCCAAAGTTTAACTCTGTCAAGTTAGTAAACGTATTCTTATCAGCACTCGATTAGCTAGGGGCGATTACGATTAGTTAATTAAAGAGCCGAGCGCGTTGAATCGAAAAATAACAAAGCGGTGAGCGCCGAAAAAGTTATAAATAAAAAGCAGTGCCATGAAATTGATTTATCCATGCTCTGCTCGTCATCTGGACTATTAATAAAAAAAAAAAAACGCGCAACTCCAAGGTTCAAGGTCAACAGGTGCGTCTGACTGATAGATGCTCTTGGTTTCAATTTCCACAGTCGGTCCACAACTCTGTTTCAATTTCTAGTATGTTGAGTCAGAACACACTCACGTACAACGAAATACTTACACTTCCATCAATTGTGCCGTCAGACAACGATAAAAAGAATTTACGTTATTTTTCCACGAGATTATCTATTTTTAGTTAAAATAGTGGCATATGTAGCTAAACAATAAACTAAGCAAACAGCTGATTGGAGCTGGAGCGAGAGAGCGAAATTTAATTCTAGAGATGGGAGAAATAAACTTTCCAAGTTTTCAAACTATCGATTGTTTAAGACCGTACCGATAGTTGCACACGTCTGCAATACTTTGAAACATTGAAGACGTTTGTAAATAAATTTATTCATATCATAGTGAGAATAATATTTGTATACATATTTATCTAGTATTTTATAAATATTTAAAAAGTTAGTAACGATTTAAATAGTTTAGTTATGCATTTTCATACTTTAAGATATGTTATGCATGCACTTATGTGTCTCTACGCTGAGTAGGGTATCTAAATTTCGTTATCGTAATTATCAATTTAGATTGCTAAATCTCAGCAGCAAAACATGTAATCAGATGTTTAATGTCATCACAGTGAGCAAGCAAAATATAGTTCAATACTATAATATACTCAATTAATATACTCCGAGGAAATGATAAACCAAAGAAGTTTGCGGCTGCTACAGAAACTTGCGAATGGATCCAAGCAGAACTTTCGCCTGGCACACGGTCAAAGTTCGTCTACTTCGTTGAAGGCGCTAACAAAACATGTAGGTAACATAATTATTTGGCATTCGCCTTGAACTTCTGAGTCATAATCCCATATTGCAGTATGACGAGGTTAGCATCCCAGTTCCCTGGGGTCACATAGCTGGCAAATGGTACGGACCGAAGCATGTACGACCGATTCTTGGCATGCACGGTTGGCAGGACAATGCTGGCACTTTCGACACTCTCGCACCGCTACTGCCACCGCATCTCTCCTTTCTCAGCATAGACGCACCGGGTCACGGGCACTCTTCATGGTTGCCACCAGGCGTTTCGTATCACTCCATAGATTATGTTCAGTTGGTTCTGCGTATAATGGAGGAATATAACTGGAAGAAAGTGTCCATAATGGCTCATTCAATGAGCTCCTTAAATGGCTTCGTTTTCGCTTCACTATTCCCAGACAAACTGGATATGTTGATTGGGCTAGACATTCTCAAGCCCCTAATACGCAGTCCAAAGTATATTGTGAATATGCTATCCGAACGCCTATCGGACTCTCTCAAACTGGAACGTCGCTTACGCAGCAACAGTGAACCCCCAGCCTACGAATGGGATCAACTGGTAGAGCGTCTGCATCACGGCACGGACAAGTCCGTCGACTTGGAGGCTTGCAAGTATCTGTTGCAGCGCAACAGTAAACCGTCCAGCCACGAGCCTCACAAATATTACTTCTCCCGCGACAACCGCCTGAAGACCTCTCTGTTTTACACACTCTCCAATGAGATGGTGTTGGAAATGGCATCGCGCATCACAGCGCCCCATCTGTTCATCAAGGCACTGCAGGCACCTTACTATGAGGACAAGAAATACTACGACGCTGCCCTGGAGGTGCTGCGACAGAATCCGAACTTTGAATATCATGAAGTCGAGGGAACGCATCACGTGCACCTCAATGAGCCCGAGAAGGTGGCGCCCATCATCAACTCATTCATAAGCAAATGCAGACCCTTATGAGAAGATTTAGATGAAATGAATTTTTGTATATACTTGCTAGTTATGATCTATTGAAGGACACAGATATTAACAATGTTGTTTTTTTGTTTTGTACGCTATGGTATTCCCGAATATAGTTCATAATTGACGACGATACAAATTACTTAATAAAAATAGTCTTTGATGTTTCTATTTAATTTAATTACCGTTGATACTGGCAATAACATTACAGCTAGAGTAGATTACAAACTTGAAAATGTCTTGTTTTTCTTTTTATTTGATTTTGTTTATGGAATTAGCGCTGCAACTAAAAACTAGCCAATAAATACTTCGCACATAATTATAAAATATATGTTTCAAAATGGACAAAAATCAATAATGATAATTGTTCCTTTTGTGCGTTGTTTATTAAAAGTAAATATATCAAAAAAATGTACAAAACGATTTAAAAGGAATAGTAAACCATGTGAAAAATTGTCGAGTCTATTAGCTCCAATCAATATTGGACTGGACTTGATGTGCACTGCACATTTGAGAGCTGATAGAGTCAACATTTCTTAGACAATCCAACTTAAAAACTAAATATTTAAAATAAATAATGTAAATATAGAAAATAATATACTAAAATCTATACTCATGCATCAACTTAGATATTATGATTATTTCTTGTTTTTCTTCATATATAATTGTTCCAATTCAGTCAGCGCTAATATTAGATGGTTTAAAAAAAACATAAAACTTTTAAATATTGAAGCAGCTGCTGTTGTGTAACATTCTTAACATATTATATAAACTCTATATATTCATATATATATATGTATATATGTGTGTATTAATGGTAGGCTTTTGTATAATGTAAATGTGTATATCAAGCGTAATAGCAATTGCTTTAGTTTCGCATGGATTTCTTGCGTATTATGAGTGTGTTTTGGTTTCTATCAGATTCAAGTTGTTATAGAAAAATATACATATATGTTAAATAAATATATATATATATAATGTTATATACTCTGCTAAACTACTAGACATACAACTATCTGAACCAACAGACGTTGCGCAGACGCGAATGTTGAACAGTTTCACATGAAATTTCAGCATTCGTTGCTGTGCAACACCTGGAAGCTGCTCTTTAAACATTGTAATAAAACAACAATCTAGTGTCTAGGCTATAAATAAATACAATAAATAAGTTGTTTCTTAAAAGAAAATGCTTTTCAACATTCAGTATGGATGTTTGTCTTGCTATGTAAAACTATTTACAATTGAATATGGAGCAAGGCGATGTTTTAAGCCACCGGCGAGGAATCACCCTTCATGTCGCGCTCACGAAAGAATCCTCGCTCTGTTTTGCACTCTCGTATGGTGACTGTCTCCAGATTGACAGTAACATCTGTGATGACCACACGATTCGACATCTTACACTTGGAGGGCAGCCAGAAGCGGGGCGGCAATGCACGCGGTGACAGCGGGCTAACCGGTGGCTTTTGACTTAAAGCCAGGGCGCCAGAAAGTTTAGGTATATTATTGTTCTCTGATGGTGGCCCCGCAGTCGTTAGACCCTCATCATCCTCCTCCTCATTATAGGCGGGCGCAGAAGACTCACCACCTTCTGTCTGAGCACTGTGCGGCGTCCCTTGCGGCTCTGTTTTGTGTAGCTGTGCAGGCGCATCCGCTGAATTCTGCTGTTGTTGCTCCTGCGCCGAGCTGAGCGGTTTGGTTGCCGGTCCATCTGGTGAGGTTTTAATAGTAACACCAATTTTACCCGATTCTTTGAGAACCTCAGCCTTCCGCTTGGTACCCATAAGTGGCTGATCTTCTGAGCTTGATGAATTGGTGTCTGCCTCCGGTACAAACGTATTCTCATTGTGCGTTGAGCTGCAATTCGATGAGGAGCTGTGATCTATGCGCAGGCGCTTCGCCTCGTGATGATGATGATGGTGAGTTAGCGGCGATTCAGATCGCCGATTACTAATACGTTCGGACTTGATACTTTGGTTGTTGTTGTTGCTGCTGTTGTGCTGCTGCTGATGATGATGATGGTGGTGATGATGGTGTTTCTTATCCTTCTCCTTTTTATCAATACCATCGTTGATTGCGGCAGCTGTCGAGGTTGTTGCCTGATTGGTATCAGGTACATCGTCGCCGGTGAATGTATACTCATCCTCCTCAGACTCTGGGTCTGGATCTGGCTCCTTTTCTTTCTTTTCCTTTTTAAGCGCAGCGCCACGTTTCGAAGGCGTGCCAGAGGATTTGTTACTTTGCTCATAGATGTCAATTAGACGGCGATCCAAAATGTTTACCTCTGGCTCCCATGTGTTGTAGCGTTGGTTCCAGCCCTTCCACTTGACACGGTACTCCACAACACCCTAAAAATATAAAGAAGTATATTAAATGAGGTGTTCAAATAAACAATCAAAAATGTTCCCATATAATATCCATATTTTAGGAGAAATATATATTTATATTTCTTCTATTTTCAGATCGCACACTGAAACATACATTTGGCGCGTTCCAAACACACAATGTAAGACGAACTAATTGATTTTTCATCGATGCCGATATGTAGCACAGAGTAAAAACAAAAACAACAACACACACACACTCATATGCACACACGCGCAGCGTAAATGGTGGTTGCTACTGCCACAGGCTGCTGCTGCTGCTGCAGCAGAAGCAGCGGCGGCAGCACGAGACATTGGCGCAGCTGCCAGCAGATGGACGACGCGAGCCTCTGCTCGAAATTTCGAAGGACATGTGACCTTGCAGTTGTGAGCTGCGCACATTTGTCTTTCGCATGCGTTGCAGTTGCATTATTATTTTTGTTTATTTTCTAGAACGTACCTTTCTAACGCGCTTCTGGATGATTTTTTCGGCAGCATAGACGCGATCGTCCGAGCTGCCCATTGTGTTGCCGTCCACTTTACCGATTTTGAGGCTTTTCTTGTCCCTCTCTTGAAATATAAATTAGTAGCACTTGATTTTCCGTTTAATTCACGATTTTGTTGCTCGAATTTTGTTAAATTTGCAATAATTCCAAACTCAAAACCTTTTAAAAACAAATTGCGACTGACATTTACACTGGTTGCAAACAATGTGACCGCATCACTGACAGTAAATAAAACCTTGAATGGCACTCGTGTTATCGGCTGTCCGCCACCAGGCAACGGCTACCAGATAGTGTTGTGTGAAAGTTGTTGTGGATGAAGAGGAGTGGAGTTTGAAGTGTGGATCGTAAGGTGTGGTCGCACACGAACTGCATAAAAATCCGCCCATGAACTAACTATTCAGCATTATGATGTTAATGTGACTTGGTGTCACTGCTTCAAGTGCGAACAAAATAAATCAAATTTGCAACGTCTGAGTGTGTGCGTGACAGTGTATGAGTGCAAAATGATTTTTATACAACTTAATATATAAAAATGTGATAACGCGATTGTCAAAAGCACCGCATACAGATACAAACGAGCAGTAATTTATATTCGTAGTGTGTTATTCGCAAATCAAGTAAACGCAAGGAAATCGAAAATGTGAAAACAGGCCGCATACGAAAGGCACACATACACACGCACACAGCCAAATGCATACGCGCACACGTTGACACACGCACACACACAATGACCCAAAAAGGATGTCGAGCTGCGGCAGCCTATAGTAAATACGTTGTTGTTGCCCATGTCAATTGGGCCTGCTTTGTCGTCATAGATTGGGTCGATGAATGGCACTAACTGCGGCGCTGGGGCGCAGGATGCCATTGCCTTTATTACGTTTGACAGATAACAAAGGGAAATGAAGACGTCAGCATCGGATGAACTGGAAGTGGAAGTGGATGTCGAACTGCGGCCGGGGGCTCAACATGGCTATCTAATTAGTGAGGAGCAGGCGACGAAGGCAAGGCTACTAACGATATATTTATTTACGCTGTGATAGTGAAATACCAAAAACACCAAACAAACAAAATAACAAAACAAATGAAACGAAAGGAAAACCCAATAAAAAAAATAAACATGCCAAGAATCAAACGCAATATTTTCGCTGAAGCAAATTATAATTGAAAATTGAAGAGAAAGACTAAACTAAGAAAAACAAAAACTAATTCAACAAAAAGCTTTAACAAAACACCAAGCAGAGAAGACAGAAGGAAAAACTGTTCTTATATTAATTGTAATTATTCTAGTAAGAAAAAAAAAAAAAAAAAAAAACCAGCACCAATTAGCGCTTAACCCGTAGATGAACTAGTCAATATGTTTAGCTAGTTACAATTTGTACTTAACAATTACTTAGTGGCTTTAACTAAAACACCAAGCAACCAAAAACACCAAAAAACCAACAAAGGAAAAAAACAAAATCAAAGTTCAATTGAAAAGAAACTAACGAATATACGTTTAGGGAATTTCAATATAGATAAGCTTAGCCAAGTTACTTATTAAGTTTAGAGCAAATATACACATACTTATATATACACATTATATATATAAATATACACATACATATATCATTATATATATGTATAAATAATAAAGAGCCGCCACACATACTGCAGCCCCCGCAGAAGGCCCTAAATCAAATTCATTCAGAAAACGTGCCATAAACCGGACTGCCAGACGTCGCTAAATGTCAAAGTCATAAAGAGAGCGACACAGAGGAAAACAAAGAAATAAAGGGAGAGAGAGAGCGAAAAAGAGTGAAAGAGTAAACTTGCGCGTGGGAGCGCCTAAAAGCACGCCCTCGTGTGGATATAAGGTTAAAAGCTCAGCTTTGCTTCTGATTAGCCAAGACACAAACCTAAACATGGCAAACGCCACAACTCCTGCAGGAACAACAGCATCAACAACCCATCTGGACGATGCGAGCAGCATGAGCGACGATGTTTTCGAGGATGCGGAAACGACCAAAGCACGCATCGAGGAGCTGCGCCGTCGCCCCTTTGGAGATGGCTGTTATAATCCGGTGGCAGCGCCTGTGTCGCAGCATCAGCACCATCATCATCACCACCCCAACACCAATCACACCAACAGCAGCAGCCAGCAGAGCCTGACGAGTAGCCATCATTACCATGACCATGATGCCATCATGGCACCCGTTCAGCGGTCCGCCACCGGCTATCCGGGCTATCGGCCATCCCGCGAAGCAATGCAGATGTATGCCTACGGCAATGCGGACTACGAGCTGGAGGATGATTACGATGATGGCTGGCGCTCGTATCGCTACGACGAGGTGGACATGCATCAGACAGCGCCACCAGCCCATCAGCAACCCTTCGACGACACCATCAATCACAAGACGATCCTCCTGGGTGACTCTGGCGTGGGCAAAACCTCCTTTCTGGTCAAATACAATACGGGCGAGTTTCGTTTGGGCTCCTTCTCTGCCACCGTTGGCATTGCACTAACGGTAAGTCCTAACAAATGACAGAGAGAGAGAGAGAGTAAGTTAATGAAATTTAAGTAACGCATCCGTGCATCCTTCTCCCTTCACCTGTGCATGCCCAAAGTTTACGTTCCTGAGGCTTTCAAAAACACAGATAGATTCATAATCCCATTTCGTGGCTTTGCTGTGCGCGCCCATTTAAGCCTGTGTCTGTCAGTGCGGGTGTGTGTGTGTGTGTGTGCGTGAGTAACTGTAATTGAGCAGCAGCCGCAAGGGTTTTGTAAGCAACATATTGTTGTGTAGCGGGGCGTTTTCATGTACTTCATGCTGATATCTATTTATATCGCACACAAATCTCAGCAGCGCATTCGCATTGATTTTGTTGCTTCGATGGCATAAAAATAAACTCCATAAAAGCGACACGTTAGGCTATCCCAGTATGTGTGTGTGGGTGTGTATGTATTGTGTATGTGGCTGTGTGTGTGTGTGAATGCGCACTTCATAATATTTACGACACGTCACGCATTAGCGATGGCAAAAGGTATCGAAACAATTTGATTGATTAGCTGATTACGACTCAGATCTAACAGCGATTCCTTTGAAGGCTTACCGAAAATATTATAATAAAGCTCTCTTCAAACAATTTAACAAGTATAAGAAAATATTTAAGGGTAGTAGATATAATCATTAAGAAATCATTTAAATTTAAATTACGTTTTATAATTTGTATTTAAATAAATGGAAATGAAATATATTTGATTATATATTTTATTCCACTTACACAAAATTAGCTCAATTGCAGCAGAAAGTTCCGAATTGAACGTTAAAGTGCATTAATTCCAGCTGCAAGCTTTAGAGTGCGCCCTCAAGTAGGCAACACATTTTGTATTCACAACCTGTTGCCGGCTTTCACTTTCACAGTTCGCAGAACGAAGCAACGCAGCAGCAACAACATGTCGGCCATCAAGCCAATGAAGTTCAAGTGCAACAGTTATATTTTTCCAAGGTTCAACCCTGGCACCTGGTCCACATATTCGTGCCACACTCCAGCAGTCCCTTTGGACGCACTTCTGGCGCGTGCCCGACATTGGCTGTACGCATTTCTAGGCCAGGGCTGTTGCTGCTGCCGTGCGAGCCGAAGTTGCACGAACTCGATTCGGGCCAATAGCTGAAGGACTTTGGTGCTGGATGCTGCCGCCTGCTGCTTTCGATGATTCTGGCTGCGTGCTCAGTTTAGTTTTGTGCGCTGCTCTTGACGCTTCGATTGGTCGACGGTCGCGCAATTGCTCACACAGCATCCATTCAAATTTCAGTTACTGTGCACAGTTTTTCAAACGGCATTGTCGTTGAGTGATGTAAAGTGAAAAAGAACGCTTTCAACATTGTGTTGTCAAACGCAAAGACTCACACACACACACACACGCACACAAGCCCAGCTCCTTTCATACAGAAACGGGGCATTGAATGCTGAAAAATTTCGTTGCATACTTTTGAGCGCGCTGCGACTTTGGTGCAATTTGCAGCATTTTCAGTTATCGGCTGCTCAATGCTGTGTGTCTGTGTGTGCTTGAGTCGTGTGTGTATGTGTGTGTGTCTGACTGTATATTATAGTGAACATGTCTGTGTGTGTTTGGGCTTTTTGATGTCTGCGCGCTTCAAAATAAATGAAAACAATTTATGGAAGGCAACTAATAAAAATTGATTAATGTTTGTGTGTGTGCGTGTGTGCTTGTTAGTGTATGGGTGTATATTAGCAAATATGCCTTAATTAAATTCTTATTGCTTCACTTTGCAATTTTGTTTTGTGCAATATTTAAAGTGTTTTTGGAAGCACTTCGAATTCTAGTTGATTTATTAGAACATGTTGGATTGAATGTAAAGAAAATACTCTAAAAAAATAATTAAATTAGTTATTTCTTTAATTTACCTACATCAATTGAATCATGCAAAACTCAAGCATACATTTACTTCATAGCGCATACAAATAATTTGATTTAATGCGAGCACTTATATTTCATATATACTCTATACATTGATTCCACATATGTATATTTCACTAGAAATCCGATTATTCGTACTTTCTTATTTATAGCCTGTTAATGCAGTCTCTTTGCAATTGACTGCGAATGTGATGTTGTTGTTGTTGTTGTTGTTGTCGGTACTGTCGTACGCATCGACAGCTCGTTCGTTTGCTCGTTTTGCAACTGTCCTCGGGCGCATTCATCTTGCTCAAGTGCGTATTAATTATACGCCTGTTGTGCATTCAATAATCGAAAGTCAATTTCTATTCCGTGTGGTCACTTGCATTGTCTGCAGGTAGCTCTAGTTCAAGGCTGGCTTAATTGAAAACCACTTTTCAAATTCCAGGCAGGAGCCTAGGGATTCCATGGAAACTGCTTCAGTTGCGACAATTTTCCATTGCGAAAGTTTTTACGGAAATGCAATTTAAGCCGATTACTATCGCAAATCTTTGCTGTTGGTATTGCCAGTGGTTGTTGCTGTTATTGTTATCACTGTGCTCCGCATCATAGCATGCTGTCGTGTAGTCCTCTTGTAGTCCTGCCGCTGCAACTAGCTGTTGAGTGGCTTTCATCACAAATGCCATCATAAAACGTTTTACGGCAGCCGCACATCAATGTAAAGCTGTCCATTCGGTTGCCCAGCATTGGCTCGCCAGTTTCCTGTTAAAATATACTGGAACGCCCACTCACACACACGCCCACATACGGCCCGTTTGAGTTGTGTGTGTGTGTTTTGGCCATTTCCTTAAAGCCGTCCATGCAATCAGAAAGCCATTGTCTGCCTCCAGCTGCCAGCTGCCAGCTGCCAGCCGCGCCTCTTCGCTGCCCACTTTTAGCCGCCCGATTGAACGCATGATTGAATGTGTGTCTCGTCGTGTATTGAAACCGTGTACTTTCGAGAGGCATAGACGACATTCCCCGTAAGTAGCCAGCCTTTGACGTAGGTAGAGTCTGCGCTAATGCTGCGTAGGCTTTACGAAACATGCTCAATCGGTCGTGAATGGAGGGTTCATTTCTGCTTCTGCTTCAGATTGATGTAATTACGCGCCGACTGAAATGCTGTTCCTCGATTCATTCAGGCGTCGCGCAGCTCCATTGTCGCTGACAATTTTCCAGTTGGAGCCAGCTCGTTGCGATGACAACCCAATTAAAAAGTTTTCTTATCACAGCATCCAGATTGCCAATGTAAAGTTGATTATATATCATTTTATGCTGCACTAATACGATAAGGTCATTTTTATGGGTCGATACACTGCGCAAAAAAAAAGGTGACCCAGCGAAGGGAAAAGGTTGCGACAGATGGCCGAAAAGGTCGCACTCTCGAAAAGGATGCGACTGAAAATAATAAATTTGATATTTGATACGTCGAGGGCAGATGACATAAACTAGCATGAATATGATAGGAAATATTTGAGACGGGAATTTGCTGATCTATTGACATTTACTTTCGCCAAATATTCGCAATTTATTTTCACTTAGGCGCCCTTGGGGCCGCTCACACTGCGCTCTAATTGTCGTGTAATGCACACTTTTTGCTGCTCTTTAGTTTATGGAGTGGAGTCCTTTGGCTTCGAGTGATATCGGCTTACAGTTTAAGCCCCGGGTACGTTGGCCCTGAGCCTCTCGCTGCAATTTCTGGGCCGCAGTTCGCCGGGTCCTCGAGCGTAGTCAAGTCGGGGCACGTGCGGACAGGCGATGAACTTTATTTAAAGAGCTGCTGTGGCGCCCAGCAGCTGTAACTGGGACTTGGGCCCAATTACACACAGACAGCGGCACTCCAGACAGTACGAAATAAGTTTCGCCCGGCTGGCTGCTATTCAAGCTTCGCATAAATATGTTTGTGTATAAAAAGAATGTTTTCTTTCTTTTTTAATGGCAACGCTTAAGACATTCAAGTGTGCCCGGGCAAAGGTGAATTGGCAGCAGAATTCGCACACAGCGCCGCCGTGTCAATCAACTGTTTGCCTCTGTCTGCAGCGCTGTCGCTCTCGTCGCTTGGTTTCTTGTGAAATTGTGAAACTATATGCGCACCAGCATTATGTAGTATTGACAATCCTATTATCCTCCTGTTTGACAGACGTTAAATAAAGCAAAAAACAAGAAACAAAAAAAACAGCAAACTTTGTCGAACAAATGTCTATGCAAATATTTCGCTTTGCAGAAAACTTTCATCAGCTGCAACAAACGCAAAATTGTTTTTATTATTGATTTTAGCTTCACAAACGAGCATAAAATATATAGAATATATACAATTTAAATGAGAATGTTCTGCTTGCATGACATTGAAATGGACAGTTCCAGGCAATGATCAGGTTTCGTATGGAAAATCACAGAAACTTTCAACTTGTGGGGCTTCCTAAAGCATCTCTATGCTTTCACCAAAACTAACTAGATTTTCCATGTCCTGCATTCAAATTTGCATTTAAATTTTATACTTTATTCATTTTGAAAAGTTTTTTTTTTGGGTCAGATAACGTGTTTGAGCAGGCTTTTACCGCACACACATAACTTTTGCTAATGGCAAGTGAAAATTGTAAAACAGTTGCGTAAATAGGCATGTGGGCTAATCACGTGGTTGCGCCGCTCTCGCTGAAGCCTTTTCAATTCCCACTTATTATCCAAAATGCTGCGCTGAGGCGTGTGTTTGTTGGCTTTTGTGGTTGCTGCTTGCCAACTGTTGATTTAGCGACGCTGGTCCACCTAACTCCCGGACTATAATCCGGCTATTCGGCCAGCTCACACAGCAAGCGCACAGCTGTGTGCGTGTGCGTGTGCGTGTGTGAGTGTCAACGACAATAGCAGCAACATTTGTGGCCCTCGGGGAAAGCTAACCTTGCGCGGTTTCGGTTTTCGTCCTGCCTTGCGACCCTGTTGTTGGCAAGCCAATTACATTCAATTTGCACCTGTGGACCTGTCTACCTACACATACAGTACCCAATGTGCCCGCTGTGCCCGCCTCTAACTGCCTTTTGGCTCTTTTTAAAGTTCCGCCTGCTGCTGAGTTCTGAATTTTAATTTGCCTTTGCTCAACTGGCCAAAGTAAATTATAACTGACGAAGTTTATTAAATTTTCAGCGACTGTATTATGATTACCCTGGACTATATATAGAGCTCTATTATTTGTTGTTCTTGTTGTTATTCGTATACTTTGAACTTTGCTGTTTTTACTTTTATTTTTTGTTTATGATTTTTAATGAGTTTTTTAGGGCAAAAGTTTTGTCTTTTGCCTTATGCGCTGCCTCAGCAAAGTTGACAACCCGATTTCGATTTACGAATGCGAGTCGAGCTGTCGAGTTGAAGCTGGGTCCGGGGACTGAGTGAGCTATTGCTGTGGTGGGTTTGCTTTTGTGGGCTGTGCGTCATTATGGGCTCGGATTATGATGACGATGATTATGATGATGTTGATGATGAGGGGTAGCAGTTAGTTTATTGATTTATTGCGTACGCTGGCGTGTTTGAAATTGAATTAAGCCAATTTGCATTTGCACCTTTATATAGCAGAGAATTTTGATTGTCTTGCGGATTGAAAGCGGTATATTCGAGCGGTTTCAAAGATGCGACGTCAGCAAACGCGCTATCGCAGCGACTCCATCGCTGGCACCAGCACTGGAGCAACTCGCAAGCCATCGCTGGTCACAAGTGTGAGCAACGCCTCGCCCACGCGCCGCGAGTCGCTGGTGAAGCCCACCTGGCAGCACATTACACCTGGCCAGCTGCCGCCCAAGACCCTGGACAAGATCAACGGCATCGCCTCGGACGATTCGGATGACGATGGCTATCCCAAGCGTCGGCCCAGCGTCATTGTGCATCAGCGCCAGCAGTCGCTGTCCCAGCAGCCGCTGCTGCCCGAGTACATGAGCCCATCGCAACTCTATCGCGATCATCTCCAGCAGCAACAGCAGCAGCAGCAGCAGCAGCAACAACAACAGCAGCAGCAGCAGACGTCGTCGCAGGCTCAGCCGCAGTCGAGTGGAAATGGTTTCAGCAGCAGATTTCTAAGCAGCATGCGAATCAACGCAGCTGCCGAGCAGCAGCCGCTCCTGGATACTGGAGGAGGTGGAGGTGGTGGTGCTGGCTCTGGTGCTGGGGCAGAAGCTGGTGCGGCTCCTGCTGCTCCTGGCAGCGATGGCGCCGGTGCCACGCTCTGCAAATCAGCTGGACGCGCGCTCATACGCATGATTTCCTCGACACCTGGGCAGGACGAGGATGAGGATTTCGATATCATGGGCAAGGTGACAATGAGACACACACACACACACAATACACACACTAAACACAACGACACGTTCACCCGCAGCCGACATGAGCCTTAAGTGCTCAAAACCAAAAGCCTGTTGACTTTGACAATTTGCATTACAAAAAGGACGACAGCAAACGAAATTCCCGAAATTTATAAGTATTTATAAGCGGCTAAACAGGCTGCCAAATCCCCCCAAGCAAGGCTCTTTATCAGGACCTGAGCCGCAAATTGATTTACGTGCAGCTCAGTCTGACTGATTATCTGTCCGCTTGTCCGACTGTCTGACTGTCTCTCTGTTTGCCCGTGTGCCTGACTGACTTCTGCGCCTTTAACGACTTCGCCGCGTGTTATTTGCAGTCGCATTATTCGTACGATTTTACGACATTCCTGATTTACAATGCCATTTACATAAGCAGCTCAAAAATAAAGTCATCAAATGCTAAAAGGAGGAAAATTAAACAATAGACCCTGTTGCTCTCTGCAAAGGCAACAATGAAACGCAGTGCTAACTAAATTCTGTTGTCGCTGGGCCGCAGCTCGTGCGCGCGTCCTTCAGTGTGTCCTGTCAACGGCAATACAATAAATGGCGGCTATTCCGCTGCAAAAACAGTTTTGCTTTATGCTTTTCATTAGCGCAATTCGCTAGAATTACGACAAATGGTCCGGCAACGGCTGCGAGCGCTGTCTCGCCCAGCTGCGCAGCAGGCATAAAAAAGGCAAGAAATAATAACAATAAATATGAAACAATAAAAGCACAAGAAACAAAAGTTAATGCGCAGCTTAAATGCACTCAAAAGCGACTTCACTGCAATTTCGATTGCGAGCAAGATTCCCGGAAATAAATGGAGTTTCTAGTAAGAAATATAATCACAGCTAAAATATTCTATTACTGCTTCTAGTTAAATTAAAAACTAAAAATAATATATACTACCTACTACATACATACATATGTGTATTTGGCTTTGCTGCCTCTGTTTGGCCAAGTTTTTTCAGCTGGCAAACAAACTTCTCGCTCAGCGCTAACATTTGCATAAGTTATACGAGCTGCGTTGCGTATACGCCGTGTGTGCGTTTGTGTGTGCGCCGTCAAATGATTAAGTTTTGCGTAAAATACGCAAATTAGTTGGTTTATTTGCTGAGGTCAAAGGCAGCGCATATTCCCGATGCTGTTAATTACGAACTGAGAGCCTATTTAAATAGCAAAGCAATTTTCAGTTCTAGGGCAAACTGGATTGTGCATATAGCATGCATAAGAAACGTTTCAAATATCTGCTCCATGGCCCCAAGCATACCATTTCTCTTGTTCCTCGCTGAGGCTAAGCTGTTTTTAATAACTGTGCATTACAGCAAAAAACAGAACAGACTCTGAATGTCGGCAGAAAGAGGTCGCTATTATTTTTATGAACTTGAACGCTTCAGTAAACAGAGGCAGGAGCTCTGGCGCGCTCTCAAGTGCTTTAATGTCGGGTTTAATAGTTAATATACATTAGAAATTTCCAAAAGATTGTGATTAACATGAACTTGGCTTTAATTAACATAAATGTTTCGCATTTACATACACATTTACGTAGCTCTAAACGTTTCAACTTTATTCTCTAAGCATTATTTAAATTTGGAGCATATTTTATAAATCAAGCAGCTGCCATGCCAGACCAGAGATGCTCATTGCAGCTTCTGTTTCGTGGAATCTCCAGCGTAGCATGTTGATATAGCACTGGAGTTAAGTTTTAATTGCTTGCTGATGCTGCTGCTGCTGCTGCTGCTGCTGCTGCTGCTGGGTAGCAACCAATTTAGGCGAGAGCAGTCAGCTAAATCAACAGCAGCCGCAGAGCAAGTCGGCTGTCTGCTGCTTTTATTTTATTTTTGGGGTTTCCTTTTGAAGCTTATTAAACACATACATACATAGATGTGTAGGGCTACATAATGTTGGCCGGGCATATGTTACATACATGCACACATAAATTATTTTTGTATAATGCTCAATGTATTTTTCTTCATTTTACACTCATCCACACACACACACTCACACTCACGCTCACACATGCTTGTTGTTGTTGGCCAGGTCATAATGCTGGGCGACTCGGGAGTGGGCAAAACGTCGCTTTTGATTCGATTTCGCGATGGTCGCTATGTGCCCAGCTATTTTCTGAGCACAGTTGGCATTGATTTTAGGGTAAGCGATTTCTCTCGTTCTCTCTCTCTCACTCTCACACTCTCTTTTTCTGTGTGTGTTACTGTTGTGTTTATTGTTGTTACTAATTGTTGTGTGTCTCTAACTGTCTCGTTTTCATTCTCTCTCTCTCTCTGTCTGTCTATCTCTCTTTCTCTTTCTCTCTATCTGTACACCCCATTCCGTTTGCCAACTGTTGTGCCTGTCTGTACGCTGTCAACAGTTGTCAAGGCTTTGAATACAATTTTCACCTGCTTACACATTAACTTTTTCTTCATCTTTGTTGTCTGTGTGACTGTGTGTGTATGTGTGTGTGCAAGTTTATCTAACTTCTTCTTACCCTCTTTACACCTTTTCTTCCTTTCACTGTGCCTGTCCAATCCAAACAAACCGCAGCTGCTGCCAGCGACTGCTAACTGTTATTCCCTATAATCGTTGTTGTTTATCCAGCTATGTGTTAACTGTATCTGTATCCTGTGCGCAGCTACATATTGTATATATTACAGGTCATCCAAATGTCGGCTATTGCTTATACTTGATTCTGTCTGTATGTGTGTGTGTGTGTGTGTGTGTGTTTGTGCAGTGCTTTGTCTGTTTGTTTTGCGGTTTTCATGTTCTTCAGCTGCTGTGGCGTTTCTCTTTAGTAAAATATTTTCCCGCCAGCTTAGCTCGTGTTCAAGCTGCCCCCAACCCCTTACCCCCGCTCACCTACCCAGCACCGTCCTCCGCCCAGCAGCTCTGTGGAGCTCTGTGCCTCCAAGTTTGCCGGCGTTGCTGCGGCAAAAGTTCTTCGGGGGCTATTTATTTCAAAAGCATATGAACTTGAAAAGGACTTGTTGATGGTTGTGTGTCTGTCTGTGTGTGTGTGTATGCGTGTGTCTGTGTGTGTCTGTGTGTGTTTGTGTCCTCGCAGCCTGTCTGTCCCCCTCTGTGTTGTACACTTGTTGTTACTCGTATTTAAGTTGATGTTGTTGCTTTTATTATGCTTATTATTGTGAGGTTTTTGTTTCAACTTCTAGAGGTTTTATTATCGTGAAAATTGCCCAGGGCTCACATGGCACATAAATTTATTAAAGCACAATAATACTACAAGTATTCGCCATGTCTGCCATTAGCAATATAAATGTCCTTTGGACAATCGCCAGCTCATTGTATGGACACGTGCGGCTATTTTTGCCTTTCAACTTTTGCGCCGTCAAATTCCGTAGCATCAATGCGCGCATCTCGTTTTTTTAATGATTTTTGTTGTCTTGACGACCGATTGAAGGTTGCAATGAAATGAAATTGAATAAATTTTATGAAAAGACAAACTAGAGCAAATAAATGTTGCATTAAATAGAGAGAAAACAAATAACATATTTAATGTATAATGCAACAGAAACGTTTAGTTTTAATAATTTATTTTGTATGCTAATTTTGTGTAATAAATATATAATTGGGTCACATTAAAACTTGCGACTGTTTAGTGTTTTTTTTTAGTATTTTTTCTTGTTCGAACATTATCTTTGAACTCGTGAATTTAATACGCGCCAAGCCTGGGGATATGCAATACGCACAGCCTTATGTGATATGTATGTACGTACTTTTGTATTCAGTTTTCATTTTGCCTTGAATACATCATTGAAATATTCATTATTTATGTAGACCGTTTCCACTGTGCTTCACTAAATGAATTTCACAGTAAATTATATTCAATGTTGGCTCAGTACATTGACTTTTTGTTTACTTAGCTAGAAATTTGATGTTTGCTTTCGATTTTTTCTTGCTTTCTTTTTGATATGTTTTTTTTCTATTTTTTTATATATGTATTTCATACAATGAAAGCAAGTCAGTGTGGCTGTCATCCACACACACACACACACACACATATATATATAGACATATACATATCTTGATGATGTTTGTCTTATTGCTCGCTTTTATTGTATGCCATATTGACTGACTGTCTGAGTAGCCACTGATTAGTGCTGGTGCTTGCCCTCTGCATTGAAGTCAATAATGATGCTGAATCTGCATGTTAACTGTACGTGTATTCGTGTAATTTTTGCACCTCAAAAGGTTTCCACTTGCCCCCGAACCCACTTAATTAAGTATACGCAGGTCCATCTGCCCCCATCTCTCCCTCTCTCTCTCTCTCTCATTCTTCCTTTAGAGTTTTATAAATATATATCTCTTACATTTGGCGTTCTCTTTGGCATGCACATTTTGTAAATTAATTGCATTTCGCATCACAATGTCATTTTGATGGCATTAACAAATTCCTTTTACATAACAACTGCCGCATAACTCGATTGCAGAACAAGGTGGTCGTTGTCGATGGCACGCGCGTTAAGCTACAGATCTGGGATACGGCCGGACAGGAGCGTTTTCGCAGCGTAACCCACGCCTATTATCGCGATGCCCACGGTGAGTGCAACAGCTGTTGCAATTGAGTTTTGGGCCTCTGATGCGATTTCCCATTATTTTCTTTGTTAATTTCCGGTGGCTGCAGCGCTGCTGCTGCTGTACGATGTGACCAACAAGACCACCTACGACAACATACGCGCCTGGCTGGGCGAGATACGCGAGTACGCGCAGGAGGACGTTGTCATCGTTTTAATAGGTGAGATTCACTTTGCCGGCGAGCAACACAAAATAGATTTGATTAAAGGCAGCTTTTAGCAGCTGAAGCTGCAGTTGCTGCCAACTGCTGGTCACTTAATTCAATTACGAGTTTAAACTTTGCAACTTTTGTCGCACTCCACATGCCAAATGCCCTGCTTTGGCCGCCCTTCTGATCCGCACACAGGCAACAAGGCCGATTGCAGCAGCAGCGAGCGGCAGGTGAAGCGCGAGGATGGCGAGCGACTTGGACGTGAGCACGATGTACCATTCATGGAGACATCCGCCAAGACCGGACTCAATGTGGAGCTGGCATTCACAGCGGTGGCCAGGTTAGTAGCAATTAACTAGCTCCAAAGTTGTTCTCCATATGTCTTTAATATCGTTCGGTTTCATTTATAAATTTATTTGTTCTCCCACTTTTCCTTTCAATAATCGATGTACTAATACACAATTCGACTCGTTTCACCTCTCTCTCTCCACAGGCAGCTGAAGAGTCGCGGCTACGAGCATGGCGATGATGGAAAATTCAATGTGCATGATTTTGTGCGTGACAATACAAAGGCTCGGTCTGTTTGTGCTCAATGCAGGAACATGTAAATTGTTTCTCTTCCAGCACAATGAAAACTTTGCACAAAACCCACAAAAAGAGCTCACAAAACAAAGCGCAAATTTGTACAAAAAGAAAAACTTTGCAAAACCCCAAAAAAAAAGAGAAATTGAATGAATAATGCCAAATCGACAGAAAAGAAAAAAAAATCTAATAATTGGTTATTCATAGGGCACGCGTGAGGCAAACAGTTTAGGGAGATCCTAACGGGATAGTGTTTGCATGTAAATTGATGTATGAGGAGGATGTAAGTAGAGAGGGGATCGGAATTATATAAGTTGGCATTGGATAGCTTAAATATTGGATAATATATATACATGAATACATATACAGATATATCTATATACAAACAAGTACATACTTTATTTTTTGGCAAGGATAATAGAAAAGTCCTTGCAGGAAACGAACAAAACCAAATAACGCAAAGTGCAGCAAAATCATGCATCATTGATATTTGTCCAGCACGTCGCGTCGTCGATAATTTGTATTTATTATAACCGCGCTGTAAGCTGTTAGTGGCTGAAAAGAATATGTGCGAACCGAGCATTTGCCACACAAATTTAAATATAGGCGTTAGCTTATACACATATATTATATAAAGGCATTGCCCAGAAGCAACCAATCTAGATTGAACCAAGCCCAATTAATGAGAAACAATCACTCAATTTACCTTAACAAAAACTATTAATTGTATTTATTGAGACTTCTGTTTTATTATGTATCGTTAAGTGTTATGCCTACCGTTAAGTTTTAAAAACCTCACACATAAATGAAAACGGGAGAAAGGGATAAGGAGATCTTTAATGTTTAATAACTACAACTATTTTAAATTATTTACACCAATGAAAAGAAACAAAAACAAGAGAAATTAAACTATCAAATACTCTATGCAATTAAGTTAGCTAAACCTCTATGTAAAGTTTGGCATGTTCTATATGCAATACATATATACAGTTAATCACTACAACTACTCAACTACGGATGCATTCGGAATACCAACGCAAACTTTATATCATATAAAATGAAAGTAAACTACATATAAATTAACAGCGTTATATTTAAGCAAGAAGCTTGCTTGCATGCATACATATGTAATGTACTACAAATATACCATAACAACAAATACATATTTACATTGAATGTGGTTTAAAAAACTTGTTTTATTTCGAGTTTGAATACGCGCGCATTTCTCTGGCTATCTGGTTTTTGATTTTCCAACACTGTCATTCATTGTAAAATATTGGGTTTTTAGTGTGGCCACACTGTTTAGAATTGATTACCGATAAGTCGTAGCCGATAAATGTGGTAAAACATGTGCTTAGCTCGGAAATAAAACGGCTTAGGAATTAAAGGTATTTTATTGTTAAATTCGTGTAGTAAACTAGCCAATTATGGCGGATCATGCGTTTCATCGGCCTGGGCCGCTGAAGCAAACAAATAAAGCCCACAAAACCGGACGTCATCGCTCTAAAGGCGCCATCGACAATGCCCTCAAAGGTAGGAGTACCTCAACAAGTGCAGTGGAACATGATACTTAGAATTTTTTGTTTACTTCAGGCAAAGTTGGTCTTAAGGCCATCTCGCATAAGCATAAGCTGCAGCAGCGCAAGGAGCAACGACGCAACCAAATGAATCAGCTACGCAAAAACAAGCGCGATGAGGTTCTGCAACAGAAGCGTAAATTGGGTGGACAAAACACGGCACCATTCCTGGTGTGTGTGCTGCCTATGCATGAGCAAATCGATGCCAACTCGGCAATTGCTATACTCCAGAGCTGCGACAGTGAAATCGTTGTAGAGAAGTCACCCAGTGGTGTTGTTTACATAAATCTGCCGCGTTTTAAGCAGCGCTTCGCCTTTGTCATGCCTCCTGCTGGGCGAGGCAATGAACTCATTGTTCTGGACTATCTGAAGGTGTGCGATACCACGCTAATGCTGACATCGGCGGCTTTTGGTGACGATGAAATCTTCGATCGCTGGGGACAGCGCATATTTAATATGATATCAGCTCAAGGCATACCGACGCCAATTGTGGCCCTAATGGATCTGGAATCTATTAATCCAAAACATCGCAATTCTGCAAAACAGGCGGCACAGAAATTTATAAGCAAGTTGCTGCCAGAGGAGAAGATCATGCAGCTGGACACCTCCGCCGAAGGACTGAATGTTATGCGTCGCATCGGTGGACAGAAGAAACGCGTGCTACACAACGTTAATAACCGGCCGAATTTGTTTGGTGACATAGTAGAATATGTTCCAAATGGAGAAATGGGCACTCTGAAAGTGACAGGCTATCTACGAGGCCAATCGCTGAATGTTAATGGCCTGGTGCATATACCAGGTCTGGGCGACTTTCAGCTTGGCCAGGTCGATGCGCCACCCGATCCTTATAAGCTTGACAAGAGCCGCGACGGTGAGTCGGCTGAAGTACGTCTGCTCGATCGTAGCGATCCAGCTAAACAAACATCGCTGCAGTCCGAGAATATACCCGACCCCATGGATGCGGAGCAAACATGGCCAACAGAAGAGGAAATCGAGGCAGCACAAAAGGAAACCAAGAAGACAAAGTTAATCAAACGTGTGCCCAAAGGTTACAGCGAGTACCAAGCTGCCTGGATACCTGATGTGGAGGAAGTGGAAGGCCAGGATGATGAAGACGACGATGCGGATGAAGACATGAGCGGAGAAGAAGAAGACGAGGACTTTATGTCCTGTGATAACAAGTCTTTTGAGGACGAGTGCGAAAAACGTGATTCAGACACAGAAGAGTATTTGGACTCTCTTTCGATTACCTCAGAGGCAGCTGTCAACGACGAAAAGTACGATCAGCAAATGGATTTTCAGGAAGAGCGGGAGACATTAAAGAAACTACAACTGGCTCGCACCGATCAGTTGTGGCCCGACGAAATCGACACGCCTCTTGATGTGCCCGCCCACGAACGCTTCCAGAAGTATCGCGGCTTGGAATCGTTCCGCACATCGCCCTGGGATCCCAAAGAGAATCTGCCCAGCGACTATGCACGCATCTATCAGTTCAAGAATTTCGATCGCACCAAGCGCCGCATTTTGGCAGAGGCCAAAGAATTTGAGGGCATTATGGTGAGAGAGTGAAATGAATATTATTTGTTAGAGTATTAATTTTTTTTTACTTTATACTCCAGCCGGGATTGTACATCACGCTGCATGTCATCAATGTGCCCGCCAGTCGCTGGAGTGCATTCCGATCTGCTCACCTCTCGGATAATGTCATTGTTTATGGATTGCTACCACATGAGCACCAGATGTGTGTCATGAATGTTGTGCTGCAACGTATTCCCGACTCCGAGGTGCCTCTAAAGTCCAAGGAGCAACTAATTATCCAGTGTGGCTATCGTCGCTTTGTTGTCAATCCCATTTACAGTCAGCACACAAATGGCGACAAACACAAGGTGCGTCCAGTGATCATGCTTTATCTCAAATATTAGCTGACTTATGTTCTCCCGCAGTTTGAGCGTTTCTTCCGCCCATACGAGACCGTGTGCGCCACCTTCTATGCTCCCATACAGTTCCCTCCTGCCGCTGTGCTCGCTTTCAAGGTGAATCCAGATTCCTCTTTGGCATTGGTTGCCCGTGGCCGTCTGCTCTCTTGCAATCCGGATCGCATAGTGCTGAAGCGAGTGGTGCTTAGTGGTCATCCGATGCGCATTAATCGCAAATCGGCCACCATACGCTACATGTTCTTCTACAAGGAGGACGTGGAGTACTTCAAGCCCGTCAAACTACGCACAAAATGCGGTCGACTGGGTCACATCAAGGAGTCGCTGGGCGCGCACGGCCACATGAAGTGTTATTTCGATAGCCAGCTGCGTTCCTACGACACAGCATTCATGTATCTCTATAAGCGCGTCTTCCCCAAGTGGAATTATGAGGAGTGTCTTGTGCGCAGCGCTGAGCATTCGCGACAGGAGCACTTGACGGAAGCTCATCGTAATTCGAAACAACTCGACGACGAGGCAATGGAGCAATAGTGTAATTTGTATATATACGAGTACATATTTATACATTTTTGTATATCTGTGCATATATTGAAATAAATTTTGTCTCACGGACACAACATAATTCACAATTTATCTTTTTATGTATAATAGGTATAATCGAACTATATTCACAAACAATTGGCTTAACTAATTGGGATAATTTACGCATAACATATATATATATAATATATATATAGATAGAAATATATATTTATATATATAATTTATAAAACGGGACACGGTTAAAAAGCTGAAGCCGCATTGCACAGTTCTATGAGGGGGGTTCTTTTTATGGCTAATACCTTGGGTTCTATCAGGATATGGGATTCCAATAGGGGACACTTAGTAGTTATAGTTAGTGGACAAACACTTGCGTCGCTTTTTCTGCAGTTGCTCAATCTGTTCCACGATTTCTGTATGCGTTTGGAATGCTTTTACGACGCATTCGCAAGTGAGAGCAGTGGCAATAAACTGATTAATGGATATGTGCCAGGCATCGGAGGTGTTTGTCGCGCTGCTGCTGCCGCTGCCGCTACTGTTATTGGTTGTCGTCGCCATTCCTGCTGCTTCTGCCTTTGCCTGACGCAGTTCTTCCTCTAGAGCGACAAAAAGACGCGTTGTGCTGCTGGGCTCTGCAGCGGGTGTTGTAGGATTTCCATTGCTATCCGGTTGCTGAGATAATACAAATAAAGATAATTGAAAATTGTCTACCTCATTAATATACAATTGTTAGTCACCTCATCACCACTGCCACCCAAGTTTAGCTGCGTGAAGCTCTCCAGGCTCGGCTCTTTCTTGATATTACTGTTGCCCATTTCAATGAGATTTTCGTCTGTCAAAGGAAACGGATTAGAACTGCATTTGCTTTCGGTTGGTTACCCACTTACATGCACATCGCATTTCTTCATCTTGAACACAACCCATGATCTCTATGATACTGCGCCACAGCAGCTGGAAATTCTCCTTGCGCATGTGCGGAATGTGTCTATGCTTTCCGCTTGCTGAGGCACTCTCATCCGGTTGATCCAGCAAGTAGCCCAGGCTGCCCAAGCTGCGTGTATCCGTTGCATTCGAATCGGCACGATCTAGACGAGTGGCCGCGACCAGATCGCTTATTTGAGAGAAATTCGATATAGTCTCAACGTTCAGTAGCAGTTGGTCTGAAGCTGTAGCGGCTGCTGCTGTCGTCGACGTTTGTGGCGGTGTTATACGGGCCGCGCCCAGATCTGAAATATCCGAAAAAGTGTCAATCGATTCGTAACGTCCCTGCTGGTGTAGGCCGATGTCGTTGTCGTCATCCTGCCCAGCATCTGTGCGTGTTGCAGTACCCTGGAGTGGAGCGGGCAGATCCACATAAAATGTCGAGTTGCGCTGCGCCAGAGATGACGCATTCGAATTGAGTGAAAGATTCGGTGTTGTCCGGGACAAGTCCATGAACGTGTTGCCCGAGATTCCAGCCAAATTATGCAAATGCTGAGTGGCGGTAATCAGCGCATAGTCATCGGCGTCAAAGTTGTGATCCGATGGAGACGGCAAAGCTTCAATGGATTCTGAGGCATCCTCACTATAAAACAGAACTGAATCAGTAAACCCAAAAGAATAATGCAAATCTAATTACTCAAAGAAATCCTCTGCTTCAAATGCCTCATCGGCATCGTCCTTTATCCGCGGACGTGGACGTCGAGTGCGTTCTATTTCCGCCTTCGAGAGCAGCGGTGGCAAATGCAATACAAAGAGGAGCTTCAGTTTTTCGATGCACTTGG